CAGCATTCTCTGACGTTTTTGCAAGAACTGCAAAAATATTTGCGATTCCGTCAGGAGATTAAAGTTTGGTAGTGTTTAAAAATCATGTTCGTATTCATGGGTGTATCTCTCCTCTGTAGCTCATGGCGACGAAGGCCAAATTTACTGTGTAACGTTCAACACAAACGACATTAACCTCGCCTGAACTGGGAAAACTCTCAGCCCACACACACACACACACACACGTGTGTGTGGGGGGGGGGGGATGTGTGTTTTCCCGTGCCCCCTACATTTCCATCCACTCTACGCGTATGGTTAAAAACGCTATTTCATGTGTCCATACTGTGCATTAGAGAGGGCCATAATGCAAATTACCAAGAAGTTTCTTGGTTCTGCCCCTCGCACGTAAAAAAAAAAAAAAAATATATATATATATATATATACTTTCATAGTTGGTTTATCATTGGTACTATAGTTTTCCTCATCTGAAGGTGAGTTTTTCAATTGAAATCGACTTGTTGTCATCCAGGTCCAGCGGAATTTCATCTAAATTAAACACGGAAGTCACTGTACTAAGTCGGCGATCAGCCTACTTGGGCGCGTCGGAGTCAAGCGAAGAAGAGCAATTCAATTGAGAGACTTTGGGTGGATTGCATAAATTAATGCCAGCATTAGCTTAAAGCTGTAATAACTAATGGAGGTTTAAAGTGAGGCGTTGCATAAAAAATGTAAAGTTGCATTAGTCCTTCCTAATCTCATTAGTCACATTAGCGCTTCCTAATGTGCATTAGCGACTTCAATGTACTGATGTACATCAGGGATCCGCAAAAATGGCGTTCGCTTCGGCAACGTTCGAAAATCTGAATTTTTTTTCAATGCCCACTAAAGTCTGAGGGTGAGTCAAGAAGTAACAGGACATCCGCGATTGTAACTTAGGAAATTAACTAGCAACGTACTTCGCGCATAGTACTGCTTGTTTGAATAACAGCACCGTGAATACGGTGATCTTTGGCTTTGCTGTCATCTTGTGTGCCCCCACAGTTACGAAAAATGGCGACTACAAGTCTTGATTGTACCAAGGAAGAGTTGCGTTTTATTATCCTTTTTTCCGCAGAAGATGGCGTGAATGGCAGTTAAATTTATCGCAGACTCAGGGCAGTTCACGAAGAGAGCTGGATTGCAAGAACCAATGTTTACGAGTGGGTGCGAAAGTTCCAAAGTGGGACGACGAGTTTTGCTGACGCGGCCCGCTCGGATTGGCAATACTCGTCGAATGATGCGACACACAGTGGAGGTGCCGATATTGAGTTTATTAGAGACCACGACCTGAAAGGACCAAAGAGCATAGCAGATCTGCAGCAGTGGCGGTATAGCGTAGTTCCTCTTAGTTCGTGCTCTACAGGGTGCCTTGAAACTCACTCCCTATTTTAAATTTGAAATAACGTTTGTCATTTTTGGACTAGTACAATTGTTTTGTTTTAAAATAAAGAGAATTGGATAGGATTTTATGATGATAGGATGATTCAATTGATTTGTTTATTTGCAGTATTCCTCCATGGTACCAAAATGAAATATTTGACATGGGGCGCAAGTAGCTGCGCAGCATGAGGTGTGGAGGAAGAGAAAATGTGAAGTTGCATCCGAAGCATTCTCCCAGCACACACGGCTGCGTTGGACCAACGTTATATCAACGTTACGTGTTTCAACTTGTTAGCTGGTCTTCTTCCACCACCACCTCTGGACCATGACGAAAGGCTACGGTATGAGGTGTGGAGGTCCTACAACCAGGGCCGCCCAGAGATTTCCAGGGGCCCGGGGGAAAACTAAACCACAGACCCCTTGAGGCCCTTTGTAGGCCCCTCTTGGGACCTCCGCACCTCATACCGCGCAGCTACTTGCGCCAAGTGTCAAAGATTCAATTTTGACACTATGGAGGGTTGCAAACAAAACAAATAAATTGAATAGTAAAACCCCATTGAATTCTCTTTCTTTTGATACAAAAATCACAGTTCAAGTCCAAAAATGACAAAAAATTACAATTTTAAAGTAAGGAGTGACTTTCTAAACACCCTGTAGATCAGGTCCAAATAAGTCCACCAAATGGAGGATCCCCTGAGGCGTGAACCGATACCTCCGCAACACCTCTTCAGGGGAGTACCACTCCAAGAGGTTCAGTCGATCACAGAACAAACGCTCCCAGGCGTCAAGTGCTTCAAATGAATTCGGGGGATCACCTACTGAATTCGCTGCTCATTCACTGTTTTTTTTTTTTTTATCGCCACGGAAACAATCCGGATAAAAATTAAAAATTAAAAATAAGAAACACCGTCCGTGGACATCCACGAAGCAGTAAGTGTATCGAGTCAGGGATACATTCTTCCACGGTGCTAATGGAGATTAAAAATACGATTCATATTTAAAAAAAACTCCGCTAAAGTAGCTTTAAATCCACCGCTAATGGAGATTTAAAACAGGCGTTACACTTTAGTCAGTTTTACAATCCACCTTTTATCTTTGGGCAACTGTGTAGTCATAGTATGGGTTGGGGGCGCTGGGTGAGCAAAGGATTGAAAGATGGCTGCGCCGTGGCTTGAGCCGTTCATGGACCTCCTCTGATTTATGTACCACACAATTTTAGCTTGACGCTCAAAAGTGAGGGGCCCACAATTTTCAAATGACCCTCCTCAGAGTTTTCAGATCTGGTTTTTATCTTTCAAGCCATAAGAACCTAACTTCCAGCTAGCTAGATATACATTAGCTTTGTTTAGACCTAATGTCCTTTATTTTAATCTGATTCTGACACTTATCTAGGTGGCTCGAACAATTATGAATGGCTCTTTCCATGCACAAGTTGCGAAGCCAATTGGAAAGCTGTCGAACTCAACTGAGAAAAAAAAACAGTGGAACCTGCATCTTCATATGACGAAGGCCTATCCCTGTATTGCAAACAACTCCTAGTGCTCCTCTCAGTGCACTGTGTAACAAATAATTTATTCCATCACTCCCCTGTTAATACTCACCCTTCCATAGGGGGAGATTGCCAAGAAAATTGAATGTCTGCCCTTACATTTGCAACATGTGATTAGCTTAAGCACTAATGTATATCTATTGTATTTTTTTTTGAAGGAGGAGGGGTCACAGTTAAGTGCATACCCCCTAGGGATATTGTGTCGCTCCTTAAGTTTGGTCAGGTTAGGTTATGGTAGGGTGGGGTAGTGTTTTATTATATATAAAAGGAATCCCAATTGATGTAGCATGTTTCCAGTTTAATTCATCAGGAAACATTGGAGACTGAGGGAGTGCAATTTCGTTAGGGGGTACACGCTTAACTTTTACTGGTTCTTTGTCACCCCACATTTCACTGGAGTTCTGCTGACAAAGATTCCTTGGTAAGGATCTAGGTGATCCATGAGACCATGGTTGTCAGAGAAAAAATATGAAAGGAGGAAAGAAAGAACCAGAAGTATAAGGTGCACATATAATCAATTGAGAGACCATCATGGGGTTGGAATAATAATAAAAATCTAGCATATTCAGCACCCTGCATGCACCCCTGTTGTTGATTTTGTAAACTCCCATTCAATCCACTCAAAAAATGTTATTCAACTCCTAATAGTGACTTCAGGTCAACCACACATGTTGCCTTGAGCTTTGGGTAACCTTTCATTCTAAACCAAAACAAAGTTTAATAACCAAAGAGAACAACCAGTGACTTTAGCTAAGATTTTCTACATCTTCCTAACCATCCTGTGACTCCTTGGTGGCTCCTCTGGGACTCATGACTCATAGCTTAAGAATTGCTGCCTCAGGATATCCTCATTAGATAAGGTTGCTGCCACTTGGAATGATTATAGGCATGTCCCATCATTTTTATAATGTTAGGGCCATGTTGAGCTGTCCCTATGCCATCATGAAAGACAAACACTTTCTGCTATAACCATATCTTAAATTGATGGCTATTACCAGTTATGTGTTTTGTGCTATCTAGTGACAGCCCATTTTGAAATATTACAATTATGCACTTTTTGGTAATTATCAGAGTTGTATCAAAACTGCTCTACCAATACATAGTATGCCTTAGAATTCTGGAATCATTGGTGTTATAGCAATAAGGGTCCATAAATGTTTGAGTCAGTGTCAGTGGACATCTATGTACAACTGTAAATTTTCTTGTCACTCCCAATAGATGTTCATAACTGGAATGGAATGATGTCATCAAGCACTTGGCAGACATATTTCTGCAGGTCCAACATATTTGTGTGTTGTGTTATGAAAACCTTCACAATGCTCCAAATCATAAAATCCTTTTGTCTTCCACATCTACCATTCCAGTGTTGAATGAAGCTATCATCCACCTAGTTGGTGACAGCAACAGTGATGAGTAGTAGGTGCACCATCTTCCTGGATAGTACCCTGCCACATGTCACCTATGATTCTAAAATTTTGGGACATATTATTTTTGAGTAAGGTTAGAGCCATCACCACAGCAATGTTGCATGGACCTCATCTTTTTGATGAGTGTCCTATTGAGGTTGTGAATTTCATTTTTAAAATTTGAACATTGCCATTAACAAAACTCTGGACTAAGAACACATAGTACCATTCCTTCAAGGGCTAATAGAGTACTTGGGTTGCTGAGATGAAACACTAGTAATAGTCCTATAGAAGCCAAGCTGGATGCTCTTAAACTCTAGTTTGCCCCATCCTTCATAAAACCTCAGGGGTTAGAATTGCTGCTTATAGCAGTCCACTTTGTCCATAGAAATTATAGCTGGAATACCAACTTCAGCTTCCTGGGGCATACCCTTGGGTGGCCATTCCCACCCACTAGGCATAAGAATGTGAGACTTCCCCTTTCTATAAAATCTAGCCAGGTAGCCAGGTTAGGCACAACTTCAATACAGTCGTCCCTAACCTAGCTAGCATAGCCTTGGTCCTGGGTTTCTTTCTGACATCAGGTGTATTAGGGATTGAGGCAATGCTTTAGGCTAAGGTTGTTAGTTTGTAGCTCAGATTTGTGATTCTTACCATTTCAGTGATGGACTGAAGAAGTCACTTGATTCAAGGAACAAACCTGATGTTGTTATTGGTCATATTGTAGTGCTATCAGGAACAATGTCTGTGAATGGGAGTGTGGATTTAAACAATGATGAAACCAAGGGACGTTCTGAGACAGTAGACTTGACTGATCAGTCTCTCCTTGTTGACATATCAGATGCTCTCAGTGAAAGAGATAAAGTGAAGTTCACTGTGCATACAAAGGTGAGAATCCTATGCTTCAGGCCAACCACTGGCTCATCATAGGTTTAGGTTAAGTCTATGTCAGGAGCAGATGCACTACTTTTCCATGAAAGAAGGTCACTGATGCCAGCAATTCCACATGCAAAATGTGAGAAATAAATAAATATAGTCCCAGAATGTAGGCTAGTCCTATGCAAAGTTCCCTTGTATGATAGAGTAGTCATAGACTCACTGTTCCAACTGTCTATTGATGGGCTACTGAAGGATCTAAGCAAAAAAAGCTAAAGTAGCATTTAGCTCATGTTCATGAAGCCATTCTCCTGATACTAGCCAAGTCATAGGAGTACACTTGGTGAGAATTTCATAAAGCTCAACTTGAGGCCTTCTTTGTTGTCAATTGTTTTGTTAATGAAAACTTCATTAGAAATGATAATAGTTTTCCTGGTAACTTACAAGGCATTACCATTTGGGTTAAAGATTCAGGGGTGATGTAAAGATTGTAATAACATGCAACTGGTGTCTCTGCCATAGTGACTTCAGGGATTCTTTCTTAAATGGTAGATGTCAGGTTCACAGCACCCAACTAGCATTACAACTGGTAATGCCATAAGAGAATTTTCTCCATGGCAACAAGCAATAATTTAGCAAGGAAGGCCTCAAGTGAAGTGTCTTTACTGCATCTTGTTCCCCATTGGGAACATACCAGAATAATTTTTAGGTAAAATGGTTGGAGACTCAATGTTTGGTACACTGAAAATTCCCAAAATATTTATAATGTTCCAAATTGAGAAGAGCAAATATATGTTGAATCAGGGATTGCGCTAATATTCTTGTCCTGGCCTCCTGCCCATGCATCCTGGGGGTCCTGGGACCCTTAGGACACACAGGCAGAAGGCTCAAGATTGCTGGATTGAACATCGTACTGCTTGATTAAGTTGAGTAGGCAAATACACATGGATTGCTGGACATTTACTTTTGGGGAACCCTTCAATATTCTCTTGTGCTTCACTTGGAAAGTAACCCCTTAATTATCAGGGGACCCTTCCATATCATACCTGAGGGTCCTGGGGACTCTATGGCAAGAAACCTAGCACAACCCCTGTAAATTTATGCTTGTTACCAATAGGAATGATTTTGAGAATATTCTGTCAGTACCGTACGCGAGAAAAATTCTTTAGACTTATTTCTGTGCAATTTTGTAATAATAAAAAACCTACCATATCTTATATCTTTAAAATATTTTTACTGCATATTTTGTCTTGCATTGCTTTTGCATCTTCATCTGACCTCTTACAAATTCTTTCTTTTGCAGTTTTTCATTTTGCTAATTTCTCTGATTTTTGCAAAAGCCCAAAATGGCAATAAAATGAACAAATTTTGGCAATATGATGGACTTTTTTTTCTATGTCTTTAACAAAATATGTAAGAAATTTGAATGTTTTCTCATAGGCAATCATTTATCTTGCTATAAAGTGTTGAGACAAAGGATACATATTGGCCTATAAACCTTAAAGCTTGTTATTAGTAAAAAGAAAATCTGAGAAAATCTCTATGCATTGCATGGAAAATTGTTGATCAACCTTGAGGACCACCTCTTTTTTAATTTGAAACCCATAAGTTTATGATGCTGCTTACTAGGAGTAGGAATAGGAGGTCTATCATTTGCCCTAAAGTAGTTTCATATGATAAAAAAAACTAGAGGATGAAATCTGAAAATCTCATATTCTCTGCCCTACCAAAAAGTATCTGGATGCCATACAGAATTTAGAATCATAGTATTAACTGGCCTAGTACAGCCTATGTGCCTTCCATATGCATGAACAACTGCTGTGATATTTTGAGGCATGCTGTCCACTAGTTCCTGATGCTCATTTTGGTGGGATCCTCCCCCATTCTTTCCATCATCATCACTTGTAGTTGATGAAAAGTAGATGGCTGGGGGACAACATACTTTCAAATTAGGTGTTCTACAGTATTTTTCACTTGAGCTAGACAATTTTTTACTTTACCAATAACAACTGCAGAAAGCAGCCCATACTATTACACCACCACTGTTATCCTTCAGTGTAGGTACAATACACTGACATCATTCTCTTCTTGTGGATCCTTCCAAATCCATACATGGCCATTGCTTTGAAAAAGGGGTAAGCATCCTTACCATTCCAGAGTATTGGAGATGACTGGTTTGCCTTCCAATGCTGTCACTCCCTATACCATGCCTATACCAATGACACTGCTTGGTTGGGGTGATGTGCAGTTAATGCAAACCCACCCTCCCTATGTACCTGCATTCATGTAGTGCATACTGAAGATTCCTTTCAGATGGTGGGTTCTTCTATTAGGCTGGAAGAGAAGCAGTAAAGTTGGCATGGATCTCATGGAGCGTTTTACAGTTTGTCTTCACAGCTCTCAATGGAACTTGTTTGTCATGGTCTGATAGCCTGAGCAGTCTTCCCAAGCACAGTTTTGATATTGTGACACCTTCCTCTTTATATCTCTTTATGGTTTTGTACAAAGTTTACTTCGAATGACCAGTTATTGTGGCAACTTCATTGATTGACTTCCCACTGATGTGGTAAGCCAATGGTGATCCACTCCTAAACCCACTCATTTCATGAGTCCTTGACATGTTACAGCAGATTGATTAATACTGCATACTTCATAGGGATAATCTGTACTTATTCTGATACCATGCCACCACCTAGTGTATAAGAGACAAGCTCTTGCATGCCATAGGCTACTTTTGGCTGGGCAGGATATATTACATAATTACCTCAGTAGACTTGTATGTAATTTTGATATTCTTATTTTTTTCAGACCACATTGCCTGACTTTGCCAAACCTGAGTTCTCTGTAGTGCGTCTTCATGAGGAATTCATTTGGCTGCATGATCGTATTGAGGAGAACGAAAAGTATGAAGGCTTCATTGTAAGTGGTCTGATAGTTATTATCAGTTCCTGGATACTAATATCATCACCTCACTCAAATGTGAAAATATGCATATTAACCTAAGAACTGACCTTTCTTCTGTGAGAGACTGCTATGACCTGCTTGGAGAATTGAAACATGGGTGCCAGACTTGTGCAGTTATATTTCCTTCCTGTTCAAAAAGATTCCTCCTGCACCACCCCGACCTGATTTTGATGCCTCGCGAGAGAAACTTCAACGTCTTGGAGAAGGTGAAGGAACTATGACAGAAGATGAATTCAAGAAAATGAAAGCTGAACTTGAAGCGTGAGTGAATTTCATGCAGCAGTTGAGAATTTCAGAAAAAAATTGGGATATTATTCACATTTATGGTCATGCCTATTATGGTATATTATTATACTGTAAATAATTAACATCATTCTTGCTTCTTTTCTTTTTTCCAGGGAATACCTTGCCACTTTCAAGAAGACAGTTGCCATGCATGAGGTTTTTCTCTGCAGACTGGCTTCTCATCCAGTTTTCAAGGCAGATCCTAACTTCAAGGTCTTTTTGGAATATGAAAATGATGTGAGTTTGTTGTCTAACCATTGAGCTGAAAACATGTTGGTGTTTTTTGTTGTGATACACATGGACCCAGTTTATTCTTTTAGCTGTCAGTGAGGACGAAAAATAAAAAAGAACGGCTGGAAACGCTCATCCGGAGTTTCTCAAAGAGTACTGATGAAAAAATCCTTGCAACAACTCAGAAGGACATAGATGATTTCTTTGAACGCCAAAATACGTTTCTCCTGGAATATTATGCACATGTAAAAGATGCAGCAAGTAAGAGTGATCGAATGGCACTTACCCACAAACGTGAGTTTGTTTATTCCTTGCAACTGTAATTAGACAGGGAGTTATTGGTTTTTGAGTCCCATTGAGTCATGTTTTTTTTGCACAACCAGTTGTTGCAGACACATTCATCAAAATTTCAGGGGGGTTTAATCAGTTGGCTACAATAGATCCCACTTCACTTCAGAGTTCATTCAATATCACAGCTGATCATTTGGAAAAAGCACGGGTGAGTGTTTAACTGGAAATACCATGGTGTTGATCAAAGAGTGTGTGAGAGACATCTCTATTTTTGCCTTTTGTAGAAAATTGAAGGACGTGTTGCATCAGATGAGGATCTGAAGTTGGTTGATCTCTTACGATATTATCAACGAGAATCCAGTGCTGCCAAAGATCTTTTGTATAGACGACTCCGTTGTCTTGCCAATTATGAGTCAGCTAACAAGACCTTGGACAAGGCAAGGGCACGTAATCGAGAAGTTCATGCTGTGAGTGAATCTCTTATCTATGTGGCAATCAGTACTGACTCAGTCTTACATTTTTGTGAGTGGAGCGTTAATTTCTTTCTTATCTTCCCATGCTCTCTGTATTTAAGGATGTTGAAATTGCAGAGGTAAGCTGAAAAGGCCTTAACATAAATGATTCATAGATTGTTCATTCAGAAGTGTACCCATCATTTGCATGTTACCCTTACTCTCATCCCTTTCTAATGAAGAAATTCACTTTTGCATCCCAGGCAGAATTAAGTCAGCATGAAGCCTGTGAGAAATTTGAAAAGATCTCATCTAAGGCTCAAGAAGGTGAGTAGATTGAGCTTCCTTTTTAGAATGGTTTGAATTTTAAAGTTCTATAAACTTGACACGGTTGTTCCCTTGTAAGTAGAATTGCAAGAATTCAAGACTCGCAGAGTTGCAGCCTTCAAGCGCCATCTCATTGAACTAGCTGAGCTTGAGGTCAAGCATGCCAAGGTGAAACATCTTTCTTTACAATTACTCCTGTTCCGCTTGACTATGCACTCAAATTCAATGTTTTTTCTTTGAATTCAGTGCATAGTTAAGTGGAACAGGAGTATTCAGTGTTCCAAGAAGCAAATATAGGTTTCTTGTGTATCACTGCTACTTTCTGCAGGCACACATAGCTTTGCTGTCAGCCACATTGGTCAGTATAAAGGAGATCTCGTGAGCACTCTGACATGCTCAAAATGAGTCATGACTTCAGAGAGAAAGAGAGGGAGTGAGGAGTCCAATTTCTTCATTCCATGTCCATGATGCTGCTTTGAATGTTTTATGCCAGAATCCTTTGATATTTTTTGAATTATAGCAAATTGGCTAATACTGTGAGCTTTGATGTTGTTGCATTTTCTATTCCTGGTCCACATTATATTTCTATATTGTAGCTGCCCAGAGTCTGTTATCAGCATATGCAGAAAGTAATAAAGCCAGAGCTCTTATTGAAGCATGTGTCTTCTTCTCTACTTGCCTCCTGTCTGATTATTTTCAACATTATTGCAAGAAAAGCAGTGAAGCTTGGTTTCACTTGCTTACCTTGGTGGACCCAAGGATGATATCTTGTCAACTTTTATTTATCAGCTAGAAATTAAATCTTTGGGATTTGATGTATATGAAGGATGGCTTATTCTTTCAATAGATGGATTGTCAATGAAGAGAGCTTGAGAGAGTGTGGGTGAGATGAGTGCAAGTACTTCTCCCTCCTGGAAAGGGGAAGAATCTCACTCCCAGTCTGAGCCCCCAAAGAAGAAGAAGCGTAAGAGAGTTAGTGGTAGTGGTTTAGTAAGCAGTACAGATACATATTCAGGGGTGCATCTAGATCTGCTTGCCTCTATCCAGAGGGAACTTTTCTCCAAAAAGTGTCTCTGTGATATGCCACCCTTTCCAGAGGTTCATCACCTCCCACCAACTGATGATCATGGTCAAGTGACAGCCATGTACATGAGCACAATGGAGGCCATTCTTCGTATCACTGCTGCACAGTGTTCCCAAGGCTATCTCTGCTCTCGCCTGGCTGAAACTACAGATGTGATGTTAGACAATGAGGAAGTGGAAACCTTTGTCATCTGTTGCATCAGAAGTGTTGATAGATACAAAGCATATGTTGCAGGAAAGGTACTTCTGCAACTATTATTACTTGCGGGGGTGCGTCTTGAAAGTATAACAGAAAGAATGCTACGAGTTGTTGAGGCAAATGAAGAAGGAGCACAGATTGTATTAGACATCTTCAAGCAAATATTTGATGCCAAGGAAGATGGGGAAGATGAACTGAGGGAGGAAGAATTTTCTGTACACTCAGAATGTAGCATTCTTTCTGTTGAAGACAACAAGGATGAGATGAGAATTAAAGCAGTGAAAGAGAGACTACTGGAAGTGCTTGCACAGCATTGGCCTCGCTTGTGTCAGAGGCATCATTTGCTTCCATTGCTCCCATTGTGGACATCTCTTGTGTCAATTCGCTCAAATTTATCCATCCATCTCACTCAAGTGTTTGCTGCTCGAGGATCCTTACCGAGGCTTCTCCCTATGCTCCTGGATCCTTATGTATCTGAGACATTTGATGAGGTCCTCTTGTGGCGTGGAGCCATGGATGTGTATAATGAAGCCCTATGCTATGGGAGCACCCTAGCACTACAGGACAAGATTCCAACTGATACTGTCTCAGTTGCCTGGGCCCTCTTGAAGTCTGCTGCTTCAGTAGAATCACCTGGTATTCTCAGCAAATGTCCTGTTTCTCAAGACTTCAAAGGTTTTGGGGCAGATAATGAAGAGCATGAAAGCAGAGCAACAGTCTTACTGTCTAAAATGGTGCTTCTGCTCCTGAAAGCTCTTGCTATTGCATTTCGTGCTGAACGACATGGACCTCACATCACATTTGGTCCATCAACATCATCTGCTATGAGAATCATGGAGGAACTTATGGCTGAAGAAGCAGCAGCTTCTGGGGATGAAGATAGTATGGGCTCACTCCTACATTTGGCTAAGGGTGTTCTTCATGGCCTTGATGCATGGGTGAAAGCATCTGTGCCCCTTTTGCCTCAGGCACCAGTGGCTGAATGGGTGGTCACTGTTCTGAATGAGCAGGATGACATTCTCATTGAAGCCCTTGTTTGTCTTCTTGACATTCATCTTTGTGTGAAAAAGACTGCCAATCATTTGGATACTGAGAGCATTCTGTCAGTGACTAATCCCCATAACACCTTCTGCTGCTTCTTGACCTCACTCTCACATGATGCAGAGGTCTTATTGGATTTCCTGCTCTCCAATGAGACTTACTTCCTCCTGTACCTTCAAAAATATCTTAAGCATTTGCGAAAGACCTGGGATGGGTTCATAGTGACTGCAGGAAGGAACTTGGATGCTACAATGAGCGTCCTGGTGCGTCTCAAACTTTGCATCACAAGACTTAAGGCCAAAAACATGTTTCCATACAATATCGACCCTATTCTGAGGGTGCTTAGTGAATGTGAGACCCTATATGAGACCTCAGTTCACTAATGTCCAATTGCTCAGTATTTGATATTTCTACATATTCTTCTTTTCTGTGATTTCAGGATGTTTCTGTCCCAGACAGCTCAAAATGGACATCTTTGTTAAGCATCATTGCATTTCATAATTTCTTACCAGGTGTTTGGTTGAAGGTGATGATGGAGACTTTGTCAACCATACCAAAATTGATAGCTTTCTTGTCAATCCCAACTTGTCTGTAGACTCTTTTGATATTCCAGTTTGTATCCTCTTCTCAAATGCTCATTATCTGGTTCATTATTCTTCCTGGTTTGCTGTGGTTTGCACAAAGAAAAGATGACTCATGGATTGAGCTTGTTTCCCATGGAAATATTCTTTCAGTTCAACTGCAGGGTGTTTGAAGAATAACTACTTACATTCAAGCTTGAATGGCTTGAAAATGGCAGAAGAGATGAATAAAACCATCTTAAAAAAATCAACTAACCTTTTACTACTACTGTTTTTAAGGTATTCAAGTTCAAAATTAGATTGTTACTTTTTAAACACCCTATACATGAATACAATTAAATGTTCATGAATGGAATGAAGTAAAGCTTTGCATCAAGATGCAGCTTGCACAATTTATTTAGTTGAAAATTTTGAGCCTTCCAGCTTATCTACTAGCAGTGATACCTTGGATTTGTGTAGTTGGAGTGTGAACTCTCTTGAAGCTGAGTCCATCCCCATTCCCCAATGCATTGATAATGAAATTGTCATGGAATCTCACTTACTGTATTCCTCATGCAAGCCACACTACAATTTTTCCATGCATGAAAGTTGGCCACATTGAGCACTTCATTATTTCCTTCATCATTTGCTCTGGTAATGTACTTACAGCTACTTGATATCTACTTGCATGCCCATTATCCTAATTTGATCATAACTTGAAGAGCTATCACAGGGATGCTATGAATGACAGGGAGAGATGACATGTGCTTTCTTTCCATAGCATGCAAGGAGCATTATTCCTTATGAGTGATGATGGACTCTCATTTTGATTGTGTTTTGTCATTCCAGGAGTATAATGACAGATTCAGATCAGGATCTAAAAAGATATCAATATTTTTAGTGTTTTTGGGTGCCATCCATTTCTTGCCTGTGTCTCTTGCCTGAGTGATTGAATAATGTATCCACTCCAATGAATTTTTTTTCATTAGTAAATATTTGGAAAATAGATGTTGAAAGACCATTGAAATATATGGAGAAATGGCAGCAATACAATTCTGTGGCTATTGCAACCTCATGGAGGGAAATGGAGAAAAATAGGTTGTAAGAGGTGTATGCAATTTTTCCGCAATGATTATGTATTGTTTTGATGACTCTTCTTCAATAAAGCATTCTTTTTTTCATCCATCATTGTGTGGTATGAGCAGAACATGTGAGTGAGTGAGGGATTGAGGGTTAAAAAATTCAAAACTCAGCTTAAGATTAGCTTCAAGCTCATTCAGGAATCATAAGCTTCTCCATTTATAGGAAAGTAAAATAAGTATTCCCAACCTATGGCAGGAGGCTAGCAGAATCTGTATGCTGAGCCAGGATGACCTTGTACCTCACTTCTGCAATCACTTTATAGGATGCACATTGAAAATACTTCCATTGAGAAATCTGTTATTAGGAAACTCATTTCTCAAGTTTCTTAAAGCAAACAAATTTATAGCAGCTGCCTTTCAAAGAAAGAAGCAGGATTGGGTATTCCATGGTAATTTTCTCTGATTGCAAACATTCTGGGTGACACATGAAGAAAGGGAATACTTGACAGTATTTGGAATGAGTATCAGATAGGGCCAGAAGTTTTCTAGGCAGCTCAGTCACAACAGTTTTAAGTGAAAATGAATTTAAAAAAAAAAAAGAGTTTTCAAATTCAAATGAATTTTCTTGTCTCATGAGCATGAAAGAATGATAAGACAAATAGGAAAAGAAGTGGGCAAGATTCTTCAAGGAAAGGTGTGCCTTGTACCTGTTGCTGAATTTATGTGAGGATGTATACCTTTATTGAGGGTGATCTTGTCTTTCTGACACTCGAATATGACCACACTCTGATTCTTTGTGTTCAGGCTTCCTGCAAAACAGAATATGTCATCCCAGAAGGAAGTCAAGAATTTTCAAGCTTTCTTTCGTTCCAGACCAGGTATAGTCATTTGAGGCAAGAGTATGCTTGCTTGACTTCACATTCATGGTTTTCATTAATTTGGTGGATTCCTTCATAATTATTTGTTAATTTCCAATCTTTTTTTTTTCAATACAATAACATCACTTATTTCTGCTTGTTCTGTTATTCATTTGAACCTCACCTGGAAACCTAAGTTCTTTCATTGTTTCTGGTGTTATAGTTAGAGCTGTGCAATACAGATTTTAACCCATTGTATTGCAGTTTAATATGACGTTTTTTCACATTGAAACACCATTGACACACTCAGCTGCTGATCCCATATTATGATTAACCCATATTAAGTACCATAGTGACCCCAAACAACATTAAAACTATATCTTCTCTCTGAAACAGATGGGATGTCTCATATTGCTTGACTGTGTTACTTTCAACTGCTAGTATATATGCATAATTGGAAACGGTCTAGTTCTGATGCCATACCCAAGAAAAATACATGACTAGCATTGAGTGCTATAGGAGTCACTGGCAACCCCAGCATGAAAAGGGGTAGAATTCAGTTGTTTTCTGTACAGCTGCTAGGTCAGGTTCACAATTAGAACTCATTATAACTAGTTGAAATAAATTCACATGTAATCTTGATGTTTTGCTTATTTTGAGAGCTGAATCTGGAACTTGCCGGTATAAGACAGTCCCAGACTAGAATCTCCTAGGATATTTTTTGCGTTTTCCGATCTAGATTGTTCCATTGGGGTATATATTCTTTGGTCATTGTTGCAGATGATAGTTTGTGTCATATGAGTCAGCTGCTGGTAAAGTGTTCCTCATTGCAAAATAATGTTTGTGTTCACACTTTTTTCATTATTCTGGGCTGCGTAAGTTACATTTGCCTCCCGGACAAGTTTCTTTTCACATGATGACTGGAAGACCTGCCAGAAAGATTGTGAACATTCTTTGAGAGGACCTCCTTTCAGACGAATATTCTGACAGTGATGATGAGCCATCAACTGATGATGGAGAAGTCGACGTCATCAAACTGGAAGAGTTCACAAGGAAGCGATGATGACAATTGCCCGGAAGAACCTAGCGCTGATCAGACTGATCATCAAATCTAATTGTCAAGGAACCATCAGGAGACTTGTCACTCGATCCCAAGTAGAATAGTACAAGGTCGGAAGCCGTCGCAATGTGTGATGTGTGGTCAGCCTGATCCAACTCGGTACACTTATCGAGAAGTGGATTTGGTTTAATCACCCTTCAGATTTTTCATGAAGGACTCGATCCTTCGTCTAATCCTGTCCTGGTCAAACAAGGAGGGCTGACTCGTTTACGAAACGAATGGAAGGACATAGATGAAGCTAAACTTGATTGCTTCATCTGCCAACACATTATCGCTGACGTCAGCAAGGCTCACATTGAGACGATCGCTTCATTGTGAGCCTTGGTGTGAACCTGATTCCACGAAGCTGTGGAATCAGGACAAGCAAAATCTTTGCTAAGTCAATGGCAAGAAGGAGATTCCAACAAATTGCCTGTGTCCTTTGGTTTGACGACACTGAAGTAAACGTCGACATACAACAACGGACACATTTCAGCTAATCAGAAATGTATTTGAAACATGGGTGTTGACGCTGCAAAACTGTTATATCCCGCATGAAAAACGTGACCGTCAACAAACAGCTGGCTACTTTCCATGGTCACTGCCCCTTCAAGCAATACAGTCCTTCAAAGCTCCGTGAGTATGGAACCAAAATATGGGCTCTTTGTGACAGTAAGACTTTATATGTCTATTACATGCAAATTTATACTGGTCACATTGAAGTGTAAGTCAAGAAAGCAGAATCAGGGAGCGGGCCGTCATGGATATGGTGCAAAGGCTGGAAAGATGGGGACAAAATATCACATGCGACAATTTCTTCACCAGTCTTTCATAGACGACGATTGAAAGCTGTCAACATCAGCCTTCTTGGAACGAATTGGAAGAATCGAAGTGAGCTTCCGAGTTGGCAGTAGTAAAAGGAAGAGAGAAATACTCATCCCCTTACACCTTCCAAGATGAACGACACTGGTTTCCTATCGGCCAAAGGGAAGGTCGTGGTACTTCTCAGTACAGTGCATTTTCAGGCCGAGATTTGTGAAACAGAAGGCAAGAAACCATTGATGGTCCTGAATTGCAATTCGACCAAGTCAGGCGTAGACCATGGACCTGATGTCCAGGACCTACACCGCCAAACGGAAGTCTGGACGATGGCCAATTGTGATCTTTAAGGCAAGAGGATGATGAAATTCAAAATTTTTTACATTGTGATTTAATGCCAACATTTTTTGTATGCAATTTAGTATTTTGCTCTTAAAATCAGTTCGAAACATTTCATTTGAAATTTGTATTATCATTATTTATTTAAAAACAAGATTTCCTTCGGGCAAAATCTATTGTGGGCGTTCCTGACGTGTCCTTACATGGGTGTTGTTAATTATGATCTGACTCCTATTATTATAGTACCGGTGAGATCCGTAGTGAAATATGAAATGGTTTAACAACAGGAACAAGAGTATATTTCAGAATAAGTGACAAACAGACCTACGAAGGGGTTCACCCGGGTGGTAAGATAGAAAGACGTATCACATCCATACGTATATACACAGATAACGAGAAAGACAGAATGAATCCTCAATCTCTGGCCGTCTAAGATTTTTTTCACCGTTCAGGCTAGGGGGGATGTCTCTCTGAGATGGGAGGTGGAGGGGAGGAAGTGACTTCTCCCCCTTATATCCTCCGGTCACCGTCTCGAGGTCCACACTATACAATACATTGAAAAACGTGTTAAAAGTTTCATCCACCTAGCATTAATGGGTCGAAATATATGGCACTTTGACTGTAACGCTGTAACAGAAAAAGAGGCGTCGAATCATCTGTAAGAAACTGCGAACGGGCATAAAACAAAATGAATAACCTTTCCCATATACAGGGTGGGCAACAAATAAAAAATAATAGCTTTGTTTTTTAAGTTGTCAATCTGATTGTAGGTTGCCGACTGATGAAATTTGGTAGACAATAAAGAGTGAGTTATTTACTTACTCAGAGGGTACTCAACAGATGCGAAATCTGTTGGTAATTAAAGGGTTAAAAATGTACACTTTTACCATCACACCACTCATTCTATTTTACAGCACGCTTTTATATTTCTGGTTTTTACTTAATTTAGACCCTTCTTTTGTTTGTTGTCAATGAAATACAGGTCGACTCTCGTTAGTAAGTACTTGAATATTCCAACTAAAGTATTACTCACATCAGAAGTACTTACTAAGCAAAGGTTCGATTAAATTGTATTTCTTCACCAGTCCCGCGCTACGTCCACTTGTTTTTCCTCATTCTCCACTCTCGTAATGATTTCCATTTTTTCAAGTGAAAGGTCTCTCTTCCTGGTCCCAGCACCAGGTTAAAGGGATTTCGAGCTAGCCATTTTCAGCTGTACCGGTTGTGTCTTACGGGCGCAGTAAACCCTCAACCTGTACAACTCCGACAAAGATCGTGTAGGCGAAACCTTACGGTTACGGCAGTAATATTACTTTCCTACAAGGTATTCACCGCTAGAACTTCGTTACATTCAACAGGTACTCGTTCTCACAACCGTGCCGGTTCGTTCTCACAACCGTGCCGGTTGTGAGAACGAGTGTGCGAGACTACATTACCCATCCACTCAAACGCTCTGACTGAAATCTCGTATACAGCAGCCTCACTAAAGCGACCGTTGGGCCGAGCCTCGGCCTTCAATGAGATAACCAAATAAACATCAACAATGCCACTTGCGCATCGTCTGCAGATGCGCGTCTCGCGGCTCCTTTGCTTTGCTTGGTGATCTCTCTTAAGGCCAGACATAGGCGCCACAATTGGGGAGGACAGAATGTGACTGACGCTGAGAATACCGTACATTTGCTGTGATACCTGAAGTACGTACTAACGGGGCCAAATTTGAACGTGGAACCGTCTCAAGTTGTACGTATTAACTGAAGGTCCGTACAAACTGGAACTGTCATTTAAAGTAATGAAGGGAAAGCTGGGTCACAAACTTTTGTACGTACTAAAGGGAGGTCCGTGTTAAACGTCTGCGAATTAACAATTCGACTTGTAATGTTAATGTAACCCTTCAAGCGTGTGCTACGTCATATGCCGTTCTTGCGCCGGAGGTGCTGCTGCCTACAATAAAAAAGTCACGCTTGAGGGGGTAAACATCAGCCCAGTGAATTGCCATGTTTGTATGCCAATGGGTTATTGGGATTCATGTCACCAATCCGTTACGTCAGATTCAGAAACACAATTGGAAGAAAGCCATAGGTACAGATCAGAATTGCTCATTGGTATAGACTCCATTTGCAGCACAAGGAACATTGATGCCCTTTGCTTGCTGCCTCGAGTTTCTTTTGAAGGGTCTCCATTTTCTGAGGAAAAAGGCCTGGAACAGGAGATATGTTAGGGGAAATCACAGAGTGATGCTACTTGTACAAAATCTTCCTCCTTGAGGCTTTCCTTCATGAAGCCTGGCCAATCTTGCCCTATGAATTTGAGGCAGTGGGATATGGTGATGAAAACTTTCATGTGTTGTTTTCCTTCATCAATCCTGCAGCTTTTACTTCTGTAACAAGCAATGTATGTGTATGGAAGCAATTGATATTGAAAAGAATATGGTATAATCTGCACAGCCCTAATTGTAGCCACTCTAAGTACTTTCATGTATGCATAATAGATTTTTGGCTAAATTTACCCTATTGTACTGCTGTAAGGTGCTTGTGGAAATGCTACCCAGAACAAATGCATTAAAATAGTTTCCATTCATTCTGAGTTTACTAAATATTAACAACAGGTGAGAATGGAGAGCCTGAGGAAGAACACTTTGGCTACAGAGAGTCAGAATATCCAGGGGTAGTTACCCCAGGAAACATTCTTGTAAGAACATTGCTCCTCTCTATTGATCCTGCTCAGGTAACTTTCACATTTCATGTGTTCAGCAAATTCTCATGTTAACGCTCATATTTCATTTGTGAATGACTGTGTTCACCCTCAGAGGTGTCAGATGAATGAAGATACTGGAGTGGACTATATCAGCCCCTGGAAAATAGGGGAGGCAATCCAGGGACTCGGAGGGCTTGGAGTTGTATGTGAATCCCAAAGTAACCATTTCAAGAAAGGCAATATTGTCACAAACATTGGACTCAAATGGCCTTGGGAACTCTTCTTTCTCATGGAAGAGTCAAATCTCACCCATGTATGGTCCCTACCTACCATATTTTATTTATTGAGACATGGTAGCTTACCAGTGAAAGGCTGGATGACCATGTAGAATCCTATTCCCCATCCTGCAGGTTGATGATAATGTGATTAAGAAGGCTATCCATCTCCCTCTCTCTTGCATTGGACTTGTTGGTCTCACTGCTTTGCTTGGAGTCAGGGTAATGGGACAAATTTCTCCTAATGGAACTGAAAATGTTGTTGTAAGCAGTGCTGCAGGAGCAACAGGATCTCTTGCTGCTCAAATTGCTAAGTTTGAAACATCTTATGCCTCGCTTTTTGCTCTCCTTCATGTTTCTATCTCACAGTGTGTATGGCTTCATTACCTTCAGGCTTGATGGAGCAAGGAGGGTGATTGGCCTTACAGGAAGTGATCCAAAGTGTGAAATACTTGTGAAGGAGCTCGGGCTGCATGGTGCCATCAATTACAAGACTGAGAACATCTTAGCTCGAATTCAAGAACTATGTCCTGAGGGTGTGGATGTTTACTTTGACAATGTTGGTGGGACGATCAGTGACCTCATCATCAGGCAGGTATAATTCATTCTTTCTTGTATTCTAGCTGTTTTCAGTCAGGGTTTATGGATGCCAGAGGCTCACTCAAAAATGAACTCCTTGTCCTGTGATATCTGTAGATGAATCCTGGAGGGCGAATTGTTCTATGTGGCCAGATTTCAACATACAACCAAGATGTTCCATATCCTCCTCCAATTTCAGAAGACACTCAGGCAATCTTGGTTGAGAGAAATATTAAGAGAGATCGCTTCCTTGTCCTCAACTACATTGAAAAGTTTCCCCAAGCTATCCATGAGCTTACTCAGCTTGTTATGGAAGATAAAATCAAGGTGTGTTTGCTTGTGTTCATTGGAGTAGCATTCATTTTTGAAGCATATTTATCACTAATGTTTTATCACCAAATGATGTTTTTTTGAAATGGAATATCTCTTGAGAACATTGATGAAGGAAGAAAGATACTTTCAAACCAGAGCAATCCCTCTCCAAGCAATGCAGTCACAGAAAACATCAATATGTAGAACTAGCCTTGCTTCTCATCAGCATATGAGACATCCTTGCAGCTTAATGTGATGCATCCATTAGGATGTACACCCTCAAGTTGCAAGAATGGGTTTATTCATTAAACAGAGTAACATTACTTCAGGACTAAGCCAGCCAAGCCACCTGTAGGAAAACACCCTATTCAGTACTGGTCTAAAGCCTTGAGTAGTTATGCTGTTTATCCAATGGGCCCTATTGAGTAATTAAACTAACTATAACATATGTAAGTAATCACATTCATCCATAATGCTTCTCAGCACATTCTGCAGCTTAAAGATGGTTTCCATGAGGATTATTTTGCATTGCCAATTTGAGTACAACACCAAACAGAATGTATGGATGTAGTGAATTCATAGACTTCTGCAAGGATCAGTTTCCATCAGATGATGATGGAGCAATATAATTTACAGTCTGTACAATAACTGAATGCTCTGAGGGAGTATCTTCCTTGTGGCTGTGCTTGTGTGCAATTTCCATTTGAGTATGTCACAGGAAGCAGAATATAGCTTGGTGAAATTCATCCATATCTTTTGAGGCATTTCTCACTGATAGGACCTAAATAATGTCACTTTGAAAAATAACCATCTCTGACATGTGAAACAGACTTCACAAACAACTTTGCCCTATGCCATAAGTTGTATCAGATTCACTCCTCAATGAAATGAAGATGGTGTATCATTAATGTCTGATTTCAGGTGAAAGTAACAAAGGAGATGGGATTGGAGAATGCAGGAAGGGCATTTGTGAAGATGATGAGAGGCAGCAATATTGGGAAACAAGTGGTTGAGGTTTCATCACTTTAATGGATTCACCTTACATCCAAGCAGTCCTCGACCAGACCATGTTTGCGGAGTGAGGATTAACTTCACAAATTGATCCTCTCGCTTTGCTTGGATGTTCAGTGGGTGATTCTGTGAGTGGGAAACTGCTTCAGCTATATCATTCAGTTTCTTATAATTTTCTGATGTGATGGATCCAAACTGGGTGATGAGGTCACCATTTTCGAAACCCTGGAAAAGAAATGATAGATACTTGCAATTCTTTCATATTTATGCATGACAATAGAGGGTTGTATTTGTATAAACATACTTTTATTTTGAATAAATATATATTTTTGAGGGGTAGGCAAGGAGAGAAAGTTAGTACATACAGCAAGAGCAGCTGGAGAACCAGGGCTGACGTCTGAAATACGGATGAATGGGGTCTTGTGTTGACCATGGGAAAGTCCATCTTCTATATGATGGTATCCATTAGCTCCTGCTGATGATGACTGTGGTGGAACTTCTACTGATGTAGTCCTCTCAACATCATGAATAGCCAATAACCCATCTTCAATCTCCTTCAAAAGTGCTTTACGATCATTCTGAAGGCCTGTGGTGGATATGAGCAGGGATCAAGAAGTTTCCATGGCTCAAAAGCTTATAAATCTAGAGAATGTAAACTGATGCTAGTTCATCAAAGCTTGCCTCAGCCCACATCTGCATCAGTGTTAGGTATGACTCCAAACTCCATAAAATATGTAACTTAGATATCAACTAGTTATGTCAGAATTTTCTGAAAGCATGCTTGGCTGGATAATCTCACAAATGATCTGATGCCGTGCAGCACGAACTCGAGGAACGTCAACGTCAGATCGAGGGTACCCTTCCTCATCAACCAATGGTGTATTCATTCCCACATTGTTCTCCTAGAAAATATAGTCATTTTCTAGATATGCTCGGATTGTTTTATCCAGAATGAAGCAATATGTGGGAGAAGCATAAAAAAATTAATCCTTTGAAATCCTTAAGCATATATGAGACATCATATATGCCTGTGAGCATCCAAAATTCTTGTCTGCTTTCTCTGGCCATTTTACCACCATTTGTATTTTTACAAAAGCAATTTGAAATTGCTTTTGCATGAGGTCAAGTTTTAGTGGGAATGTGAATTTTGCATGCAGTGTGCACCAATTTTGGGACATTGCTCCTCAGTCTGTCCACAAATATGGTACTCCCTGCAGAAGATAGCATAGTGATAGCATAGCCTGCTATCATTTAAAATGAATGGGATGGGGCATGAAACTTTTATGCATTTCTTGGTAAATAATGGAAGAAATGTAAGCTTATCATCAACAGATTGATTCATGAGCTGCAAGAAACTACTTCTTTAGAGAGGAGGTGGTAGCTTCATTATCTTGAGCTCAAGAAATTTCACTATTGTAGAAGAAATCATTGTTTTTCAAAACAATTATTCAGGGATGTAAAATCCTAGCTGCAAATTTTGAGTCAGAGGATTCTGAAGCACAGAGGGGGAAAAAGCCTTAAAAAAAAGGTATAATTCCTAGTGCCATTGTCATCAAATTGTCATTGCCACATAAACGGCATAGTGTTGCAGTGCAAGCACAAAAATAAAATTAGGGTTGCTTCTTAAAATCATGCATATGGTAAAGGAGTTAACCAAATGAAAAGTCTTAAGGGTTCAGAACACTGATAGAAGTAATAGGGAAATAATATTGGGAAAACTAAAGAATTTTGAAGAGTAGTACATTTTCATGCCTCTGCCAGTATTTGAAAAATATGCAAAATAGGAATTACCATCTCCAGAATCCTTCCCTGTTCCTCAATGAGTCGATCAATCTTATCCTTGGATTGGATTAGTTCAAGAACCTTGGCTCGTGCATCTGTCATCTGCAGACAAAATTCCACAACCAAGACAGTCTCAGAAGCAATGTAATATGGCCACACAATCTCAACAGTATCACATTTTGATGCAAGTGAAGTGACAGCTGAAATCTGTTTCTGAAATTTGTTTCAGTAGATGGAAAATCAAGAGGTGTTCTTCAAGGGTATTCAAGAATGTGTCAACACTATTCAACAAAAAGACATCTAATCTGACTTCATCTGAATTGACTGGTAACAGAATCTGTTTCTCCTCAAACAAAAATGTCAGATTTTTTGCATTTCCAAAATTACTTGCTCAGGGTGCTTGACCAAGATGCTAGATATTACTTAATATTACCCTGTCTCAGTTAAGAAAAAAATTTTTTTCTTTTGCCTTGCCTTGGGGGTTGGGGAAGGAGGGAAAAAAAAAAGGTTTTTCTTAACTGAGACAAGGTTAATATGTATTTCTAGGGCCCCCTTTGTCAAGGGTGTAATATACATTGAACCAATTTGGAAGTGCACTGCTTTTAAAAATGACATTTACCTTTTCTCAATAAAGAGACAAGTAGGAAATTTCCTAAGGATGCATGAGATAGCATGGATGAACAATCATAATTATTGATCAAATTTCAGCTGAGGGTTGATTAGAGATTCCTGCTCTACATAATGTGTTTTGCATATTTTGAATGCGTAGCATAATTTCTTGTAGATAACTGGCTTTCATCACTGGGTTAGCACATAGAGGGTTGCTTTTGTCTGACTACACTATTGGAGTTACAAATCACTTCATTATCAGTCACCTGTGTTATGAATTTATTATCTACAATGAATAACCATAGGAATTTAGTTGGGTAGTTTGTCTACCAGGAATGTGTCTGGACATGCATTGCTTGAAGTTGAATGATGGCAGTTTGAGTTCTGAATCAAGTTCCTGGATAACCAGCCATTCATATGGCCATTCCTCATTGCTAACTGACAATGTGATGACTTGTATCCCCAGTTGCTTAGTCAAACACAAATAACCACTACCATAAAAATCAGGGGGCTAATCACAAGACATCAAACTGCACATCGAAAATGCACAAAACTAGGTGCAAATCAACTAGTAGCCATGGACCAATGTTTCTGATAGTTTGCACATTTTCCTGCATTGTGAAGGAATTTTATATTTGTGCTGTTTCTCCATAAAAGGCTATATCATCTTTGACACATTACCTAACAACACCCATTTATGGCCCAGTGAATACAAGAGCATACAATTAACTGGCATCTTTTATGGCAGCTACCGTGTTAGAAGTGGTGCATCTCTAAATTGGTTGGGGATAGCCTCATAGCATGGGTGCCCCATAAGATGGGTCAGCTTGCCACTCCTAAGCATGTTCTTCCCCCACATTCAAATCTTACCTTTCATAGAGCATGAAGCTATTTTAACTCTTTAACCAGACAAATTTTTCCTTATGTACAGCCTTCCCAGAGCACAGGGAGGATTAAACATTTTCTGGGAAGTATATTTTCCACTGCCCACAAATGGGTTAAGACACTAAGGATTGAATGATGTGTCTATGTTTTAAGAGAAGTGTTGAACATGCTATAGTTGCTCAAGTTCATCAAAGCAATCACAAATGGGTGGCATACATATTCTTTTTTTGTCATCAACATTTGAAGACAATTATGAATAAGTTGTCAGTCACAGTAATGTTGCTTGTCTAGCATGAAATTATAAATGTGTAAATGCCTTTTGTCACATTTGAGGAAAAGGAAAAATATATCATTTGTTACTGAGTTTGGTAGCATCTTCACTGCAATGCATTACTCTATAGTTCTGGTTGCCAATACCAAGGCTAAACAGGTAACAATTTCACAATATAGTTTACACATATGCCAAATATGTTACTTCCAGGATATATGAATATTCACAATGTATACCCAAAAACTTCATGGAACCAACAACATGGCAGACTCTTCATCAGATTTAGTTCAAGGTGGGAAAGAGGAACTAGGTAGCTTGGCCCTTCTAGTCAGAGCCAACTGAAAATACAATTCACTTACAGAAGTGAACATGTGCCAAACTCAAGTGAAAATAAGCATTTCATGGGCCTGGGACCTTGGAAGCTGAACCCCTAATTGCATGAAGGAAAATGTAGCATTGCCAATACCTGCATAGGCCTAGCTCTGCACAATAACTGAAGTACAGAACATTAATAACTACGAAAATCATGGGTTCTTTCATGGGTTGCCTAAAACTTGTAGGTCGGTCTTTGAGCATGAGGTAGGTGTTGTCCAAACTGTTAGTATGCTAGTGCTTTTCGCTCAAGTCAGACAATTTTTTGTTTGACTTGGCCACTTGTGCATGCGACGTTCCTAATGCATGATTGTTGGAGTCAAGTGAAAAATACTGTAAGCCTAAAGTTCACTATAATCCCCCTTACGGCAAGGTGCATGTTGGTCTACCCGTGAGCCCAAAAACCCTCTTTGTACCTTGCTTTCACAGAGTTTCATCAGTTGAGTCCAACAAGTTCTCATTTGCCTATATAAATTACTCTTTGGAGGTGGTCGTTAGGAAAAGCTCAACCTGCATTTTGAATCAGTCAAGTGGGAAAAATTATTTTATCTCAACGTAGAAGTACGAGGTACACAGTCAAGCAGAAGCCTGTTTGGTCACGTGTAGATATGTGAGACGCCATATTCTAGTAGTGCGCCACTTGTTTTGGTTTCCCTTAAGGCGGCCACATCCAGCATTGCTTTCTTCCTGCCTCTGCCCAGGAAATCCTCTCGTCAAATCATTCCAAAGATCGACGATAAAAGTCGAATTTCTTCATTCACTTTCCTGAAGCGTACATCATACATGTATTGTGCATGCTTTATTGGATGAAATACATAGTAAACATTGAGCGCCGCACAGGGAATATTTTTTTGCGCAGTTGTAACAGATGTGTGCAGTTCAAATACTGGGCAAGAGTTACATGTTGAAACAAAAATAACTCAGAAATTAGCGTGGTAACCTAACTTTCAAATTATCACTGCTTTCCTGACTTTAAAATGATGCTAAATTTAATTTTTCTTCCCAAATTTTCGCACTCCGCCCAGGGAAGGGGGGAGAGGTGCTTAGCACCGTACCAACGACTCCTACAGAGGGTTTTTAATCATAAGTACAGCTCTGATTTTTTCTTACAATATGCCCTGGGGCCACATACTAGTGACCCATGCTTCCACTCGTCCAACCCGTTATCTTTCACGTTGAAGCACGAAACACACTGAAACACGCTTCACGAGAATGTTTCATCAGTATGAGGCCGGGCCAACCCAGAGGGAAACCTCCCCTGTGTATTCATAGGAGCAGGTTTAATTATTGCCGGCATTCAAGCTGTCAGAAGCAATGGAATGGCATGAAATGCGTTGCAAAATGAAAACAGATGCCTCGTTCCAACGTCAAGCCAATTCTCTCTTGGGCGTTTTAGATGGCTCTGGCATGGATGCATTCGCGTGAGTTACACATCGGTAATCGAAAATGTGACTATTCACTCCCCAATTCTAGCCCACTCGAATCCAGAGACAAGAGTCCTTTACGTGCGATAGGAATTTTGATATTAAATTTTTAGACTATCAGGAGAATGAGAAATCGCCAGATTTCTGCCATTCAGAGCTTTCCAACTGTCAGACAGAGCCATCTGTAAGAAAGTCTCTTGGCCCATAGCTGTTATCAACTATGGCCGGCAACCCAATTGTACTGTATATGGCAAAAGCACCCCAACCATCAAATGTAGATAACTGGTGGGCGCACCTTTAACATGTAATTTCCATATTAGTTTCAGTATGGATATTCACTTCTCAACTATATGAGCTGAGTTTCTAGGGTATTCTGCTCCGAAAGAAGATTCAACTGATGACTCTTGGGAGTAGATATGACCTAATTTCAAGGTTTCATTGGTCAGGCTTCAAGTAACAGCAAGGTACAAGATTACAATCTCCAAGGCTTCGCTGTAAAACGGGCTTTCCCATTATTCTGTCACAAATGGGAGCTGCACCGATGTATCGGCAGCCACTGGTATCAGTGCCATAGGCAAATGGCAGGTTTTCAAGCTGCCTGTCCAAAGAAGAATGCGCAGATCGAAGAAAAAAAAACGCGTAAATGGAGCTTGGTAACTGATTCTCAACAGCAATTAGGAAAAATTAGGGCTGTCCATCGATGTATGAAAGCCATTTTCGATAGTTGGAGGCATGGTAGGCTTCATTACCCGTCGCGAAGGTCACACCTCCCCTACCCCTTACCCCCCTCACTCTCCGATTACAGGCTAGAGATTATGGAGAACGGATAGAGGCCCGCGCCTCGATTGAGGCGAGAAACGACGAAAGTTAAACCTCCGCCCGATCGCGACGAGAAAAGACTGAATCCGCCGGCAACCCCCCACCCCTAGGGTGCATCGATGCACCATTGATATTCCAGGTCGATACATGGATGTTTTCGTAACACCCAGCGTGACCGCCCTAATAAAATTCCACGTGGCTTCCCAATGAGTGTTTTTGAATAAATAAAAAATTGGTAAAACGAATCTTTACTGTTTCTCACAATAGTCCCAGCACCGGCCGATACAAGGGTAGCATCTACTTCTAGTTTTATCCCTTAAAGAATGCAGTAGATATTCAGGGCCGATTGCATGAACGATGTTTATTTTAGACATTGATTATCGATAGTCATTGTTTAAACATTGTCTACGAAAACATCGTTTAACCGCTGTCTACTTTCGATTGCGTGAACGATCCCTAAGCCATGTTTTCATAGCCGATGGTTAGACGATGGCTAAACACCCTTCATGATACATATAGCACGTTCTGACTCCTCGGTTGTCGCGTGATACACTTCGGACTCCACAAAAAACGAGCGAATTAAGTTGAAAAAGGAGAACCCTTCCTCAGATTATTATGTACATCTCGCAGAGCTTGTAAAGGAAAATCTCACGATAGAGAGAGAGAGACAGAATGCGCTTTCCTTGCACAACAAATAATCATGCCTGGAAACTGGAAATCTCCTCTGAC